GATGTACAGTAAGATCCTAAGGGAGATCATTTGGGCATATGTAAAAAGTAGCCATTAGGCCGGGCATGGTGGCACACACCTATAATCCCCTCCCACTTTGGGAGGCTGGGGTGGGAAGATCATTTGAGGCTGGGAGTTCATAGGAAGACTGGACAACATAGCAAGACTCCCCCACCTCTACAAAAAAAACCTTAAAAAATTAGCCAGGCACAGTGGTGCATGCCTGTAGTCAGTCCTAGCTACTGGGGAAGCTGAGGCAGGAGGATCACTTGAGCCCAGGAGTTCAAGGTTACAGTGAACTTGATTGTGCCAATACACCCCAGCCTGGGCAATAGAATGAGACCCTGGCTCTAAAAAAAGAAGAAAGAGAAGAAAAAAGTAGCTGTCACTAGGTGCCAGCATGGGTGTATGAAAATGAGTCAGACCAAACTCATAACTGTATCTAAAAGAAGACATGAGCTTACCCTAGTAACCAGGAGACTGTATGATACCTAATGCATCTTGATTTAGTAGGATATTTAAGTAGTCTTAAGATTCCTATGGACAAGAGAAAAAGATGTAGTTTGAGCAGCAGTGCAATTAGGTGACATTGATGAATGGAGTGATATCAGCCTCTCAGGGGTAACACCTAGCTTTAAAACACAATATTTGACCACATATTCGTCCATATAAATAGTAGATGAAGTGAAATCATAATATTCCAATTTTTCAAGATAGAAAACTGAAGGGATGGTTATATACAACAAATGACGGAAATCATCAAAGAGAGCAGAACTTGCTGAAGCATGCACCTAAACCAACAATATAAAATACAATTAAGTGCAAATATGGTCTTTTAAACCAAGTTCAACTGCAAAAACACAAAATGGAAAACACTGGGCTTCCAGTAATTTGGGGAGAAAAATCCCAGGGATTTGTGGGCTAGCAATATGATATGGTGGAGAAAAAATGCAGTGCCAATATAATTGTGGATTATGCTTATAAAGGAATTACATCCTTACAAAGTGCTGTAGGTATTATCCCCTTATATCGGCTAGTCCACGTGTGAATTACTATAGCAGCCTTTCCTGGGAAATACAAAAACGGGGCATTTCCAGAGAGTGATGATGAAGAAGTTTAATCTATAAATTTCTTTTGATGCTTAAATTTACTCTGCTTGTGTCATGCACTGTGGGGAGTAAAACCTGCCATACCCTGTTCTCGAGGAGCTTACTTTGTATCGTTCCAATCAAAGTGCATAGAAACTGCACGCTTAGGTAAAACCCACTCCCCTCCGCTGTTGAGTTTGAGCAATTGGGTTTTAACAGGTGATAATTCTCCTTTTGTTGAGAATGTATGTTGATTTCTGAATGCTAAGTTAAACCTTGCATTCTACATTAGTAACTTACTCAGCCATCGGGTGCCAACACTGTTTCATGTAAATTGTAAACATTGTTCCACTTTCTTTTATCACGGGAATGAGCAAAAGAGATTTTAGATGAAGGTAGGAAAGGTTCTCAATTTATTTAAAAGTAAAAGTGGACAGTTAAAAATCAGTTTCCCAAATTGAGGATTTGTTTCCTATGCCTAAAGAATCTTCCCTATTATATTTAGGTGGCTTGCAGAATTAAGGGAAGAGAATCCAAAATGACTGCTTTTATTGAGACTCTGAGTGAATGATCTAGAAGTAAGGTACAACCCTTTAAAAGGGTGAGACTGACTTGCACACACATGTACAAGTGCACACACACGTTACTGTAGATTAATGATAGTACATATGGATCGCACACAGTCTGGAAATGTTAAGTTTTTCGTGTCTGCTGAATTAGATATGATTTATTGATAAAGTCTAAATATAACAAGGCTTTATATCAAACTACAGATGTTAAAAATATAGCTGATACAGAGAAAATGCAAGTAAATTATTCCTGGGTATTTCATTTTGGGTTTTAAAATCTACTTTTTTAAGTTATTGAAAAGTCACCATGAAAATTCTTGATTCTCATCTTTTCTTCTGATCCCAAGCACCTGGCCCACATAGCTTCCATGAAAATACTCTGCAAAATGACTCTGACTCTATAGCTTTAACCACTGCAAGCCTGTAATCTGAATGTGAATATTTGCCATCAGAGCAGTTCTACAATGAAGCTGAACCACTGCTCTCCTCGACATTAGAGGATTTAAAAGCTCTCTTGGAAAATGAGGCGCTGGAGAGTAGAAATTAGTCTAAAAATGTGTAACAAGACCCATCAATCTAAATGTGACATTCTTGTTTCAGTTGGCCTCCCTTCTTATTAGAACTTATTACAAATTCTACACCAATAAAGCGAGAGAAAAATGGAATGGGGAGTTTTGCCTCAGGGCCAGGGGGCATCTTTCATTACTGAGTCTTAATATCAAGGCTCCGTGTATTATAAGCACTGCTTCTATGTGCTCCACCCAGTGGCTTCATCTCACCATGGCAAACCAGAAAAGCTGCCAAAGAGCTAAACTTTTTCGAGACCCTGCATTCAGGCCGACGGTGGCAAATGAAAGCTTGCAATTAAAGGTGGCCCACTCTGTGTCGGCCTGAACCTCTCATTTGGACGGTGTCCGATCCAATCAGCTCGAAATTCAGACTCCCGCTCCAGGCCGTACGGTGCTGCAGAGGGCCGTCCTCTTCTCTCTAGCCTCGTATGACGCACCCTGAGGGGTCGTGGTGGTTACTGGCTTCCCCTCCATCTGTGCTGCCGCCTCCTGGCTCCGAGTGAGGTGTGCCTGGCCGTGTGGACCTCTGCCGTCTGTTGAGCCGTGTGCACTTACTTGTTCTTACACGTTTTAAGTATTTTCACCTCAAAAGAGAAAGATTGTAGGGTAGAGAGTGGGCATTACTGAGAGAAGAAGATACATCAAGAGGCATTTCGAAAATAGTGTCCCCGAAGCAATTCAGTAAATAATTACGAAGCAGCTACTGTGTGTTGGATGCTGGGAACACGGGGAGCAACAGGGCTGAGACTCCTGTTCTGAATGAGCTCACAGCCACACGTGTTACGGGAAAGATTCCTGCGCAAGGCGTTGAGGATGATCATTGTAACACTATTTGTAGAAACAACTGAAATGCCTATCAATAAGGAAATGATTGAATGGATTCTGGAACAGCCATGTTATACAGTGGGTAAAAAGAATTAGATAAGTCTGTATATACCCATCCGAATACACGTTGTGTACAAATACGAACATATGTCTGCGTGAGTATTAAAAAATCTGAAAAAATACACAACCATTCACAATGATTTCCTCTAGGAGGTGAGATTTTACACCTACCAGGGGGCATTGCTTTTCCACAGAAAAGGGAAGTAGAAGTTCTAACAGGGAAAGTGGAAAATCGAGAGGGATGACAGAAGGTGACAAAAGCTGTCGGAGACAAGTAGAGAGGGAACTTCGACCTTTATTTCATGAACTTCTCTACTATTTGGGTTTTATACAAGCTGTGTATTATCACTTTTGTAATTCTTAAGACAATAAGAAAAGCAATGAAAATACACACCAGGAGTTGTTATCGGCACACAATCTGGTTTACATTTTTTGAATTATTATTTCTGAACTGCATAGGTGAGAGGAGATGCACAGCACCCGGTTCCAGCTCTCTGGGCCCCGTGCTCTGTGAGAACGCGCAGAGTGGTCTCCACCCGGCGATCCCTGCGACGGTGAAGTGTCCCTCATGGGCCTGGTCCTTGTCTTCAGCCTGCCTTCTCCTCTCTCCCAGTCCCTCTGTGCTGTCAGCGCCTCTTCGTCTCCCAAAGTTCCTGCCTTGCCTATTTCCCCACCTTGCATCTCCCGTCTTAGAGATCAGCAAGTCTCCTTCATGTTAAATATTTTCACCTATTCTGGTGTTTGTTATAAATCAAACTTGCTGTCTTTCCCACTTCCTACTGTAAGTGCAGTGGTTAGAATCAGATGAAGAAAAATGTGGCCGGAGTCTCTATCTGGGTCACAAAGTGTGTTTTGGGATTATCACCCCTGCCTATCTAAAATTAGACACACCTTGCTCTGCCTGTGCTGGTTTCTCTCCAGAAACACTTACCACATCTTCCTATATGTCTGCATTTCTCCACTCGTATATATTTAAACTTACTATTCTGAGAGAGCTTTCGGCCCCTCCCAACTTTGGGTTACACTTTTGGGGCCCTCTTCGGCGTCTTTCTTCTGTGAAACTCACTGAGCCTTCCCTGGCTTCTTGAGTCTTTATCGGGCCCTGTTTTTGGTTTCTTCTGGTTACGAAGAGGTTTCTCTTAGGCAGGAGGATGGCTTGAACCCAGGAGTTTGAGATTGCAGTGAGCTCTGATGATGCCACTGTGCTATAGCCCCCGTGACAGAGCTAGACCCTGTCTCAAAAAAAAGAGAAGAGGCTTCTGACAAGTTTATTCTTTCTACAGTTGTTTCAAATAGCTGAAATAAATAGTTGTAAAATAGCTGAAGATCCGTCTTTCGCCAATCTAATTGCTCGAAGCAATATCAGAACTTTGTTTATTCATCCAACAGTAAATATCTGAGTGCTTGCTATATGCCTTAAGTTAACCAGTTTAGTTTTTGTTCTGAATATTTTAGCCATATAGAACAGGACAGCTTTCAAACACAGTATTGTAGTGGTTTATTTACAGCAAATGAAATGAATCTCTTGCACCAATAGCTCAAGTTTCAAAAAGAAAAATAAACTTGAGATCTAAGTCAGGAAAAAAACCCCAACCTGATAGCTGTAAATACTATCTTAAGTGTTCTTGACATAAAGTCACAAATTAGTTCTTTTTATCACACACTGAGTGTTGGTTATGAAGTAGCTTTATGTAGGAGCAACTTTATCTCATGGCAGTTTCTCTCTTCTGTCTTGTGTTTCTGTTGAAATATTAAGGGATGTGTTTCGTTCATTTACCTTAGTTAAATCAGTAATATTTAATTTAATCAGAAAATATAACCATGGCAAGGTTGGAGCCAAGCATTATAGATTGCCTCTAAATAAACATGCTGAAATTTTCTTTTTGCAGATGCAAGTATTGGCATTATGATGAAAACCTGCTCACTTCGAGCGTTGTCATTGTGTTCCATAATGAAGGCTGGTCAACCCTCATGAGAACAGTCCACAGCGTGATTAAAAGGACTCCAAGGAAATATTTAGCAGAAATTGTGTTAATCGATGATTTCAGTAATAAAGGTAATGACTGCGGAAGTAACATTTTGTCTATAAAATGAGTTAATTATGAGTAACTACAAAAATGAAATCTCAAAAGTTTTTTAAAACTTAACATCCATTGATAGCATTTATTAGCAACAAATTGACACCGTGCCAAGCATCATATTAATATATGAATTGTTTCATTTAATACAATAATTTTTGCAGGAAAAATTGTTATTATCTCCATTTTACACATGAGGCTGAGAAACGTTAAGTAACTTGCCAAGTCACAGAGGTAGTAATTAGCATCTAAATCCATAGGCTCATAAGTCTGTGTCTCTAACCACTATTCTTAGACTGTACCAATTCTTTGGGGCTTGGATTTTGCAAAAGTTTAGTCATAGAGGTCATTCATTGAAAGACTGAGAAAATGCAGTTGCATGTATATTGCAGTTTACAATATACAAAACGTATATTGAGCTGCCACGTGAAGCTCCATCCGTAGTTTTCAAACTGAAATCCATATACCTATTTCATAGCCTATATTTTGCATTTGAATGATGATGCAAATATTGAATTTGACCAGAACGGGGGACTATTTTTATTTGTAATAGAAAGCATCTTCTAAACCTTATTTTGTTCTATATTTGATTTAGGATTTTGAATAAAAGGAAATTATGGTTTTTATTCTTTATTAGGAGCCAGTTATTACAGCATTTAGGAAGGCATCGGTTAGTCTTGGTTCAACTTGGCAAGAGAGTGATTGAGCAGTGATTTTTCCAGATACGTGGGTTTTTAAAAATTATTATAACTTTAAATTTTTTCTTTAAATACATAACTAGTAGTTGAGTATATCTTCTTACTGATGTAAATATGAAAAGATAGATAATGCTGTAGCTCACATACTAAGTCAGCATGTTAAATGAAAATGTAATTACACTATTGAACCCAAATCTGGATACTTATTTATTCCTCTTTGCTTATCACAAAACTGAATTGAAGCTTTTGAACATTGACCAAAGAGCTCAGACTATTCAATAACAACAGGTTGTTCGCATTTTGGCAAGTAATTTTTGCATAGAATATTAGTGTACAAGTAGTGACACCACTGAATATAAGGTTACAAGTGAAGCAGAACATGGGAAGCATGAAAATACCTTTTCATAATGCTTTATAAAAAAGTTTCCACCCACGTTGTGTTGGCCACGGCAAGTCAGGTGGCCCAGCCTGACCTCGGTGGATTAGGGGGAGAGTGTCTTCACCCAAGGAAGGGCAGTGAGTATTTTGGACCCTAATACAGTCCGCTACTGCAGTGCAAGATCCCAGAGAAGCCAGTAGTCCGTGGATTCACTGTTTCCCCTTTGGGGCCATAATAATCAAGAATCTAAATTTGAAGAACAGGCCATGAACTCATTTCTGTCTGTAAAAATTTGTTTAAGATTTGTTTAGGTCGCATATCCAAAAAAGGTCCTAAGGGAATTCAGAAAGGCTTTTAAAAAAGTAACTGTATTAGGCTTAAAAAAGAAGAAGAAAAAGATGATAAAGGCTTTTTAAAAAATGAAAAACTTGAAGGGAAAATTACCCAGGTTTTCTGGGGAAAAAACATGATTAAGCACAAGAATTTTATTTTAATGCTTATTAAAACTGGGTGCAAAAATAAAAAGAGGGAAATTCTTTTTTCTTAATTCCAAATACCCATGTGTGGGTGTCTTGCTAATAATAAACTCCCTAAAATGAGTAAACTATTAAGTGTACAATCTGATTTGCCATTTGCCATTTGCCCACTAGCTCATCTCTAAATATAGCAATATTTTTGTGATTGTGTATTCATGGGCCAAATTTTTAAATAATTTTAAAACAATTTTTGTGTCTGTAAGAAGCTTCTTTAAAGGATCCAGAAGCTTATTCTGGCCCTGGTGAGACAATTTCATGGACTCAGAGCGATACAAACAAAACCTGGTCTCTTACAGTGGGAAGCCAAAATGGGAACTTTGCCAAATGTGTGTGGTTTTTATAACACAAAATTTCCTCTATTAAATTAGAAACATATATTATATATGTAATTATAACCTAATATAATTATGTACACTTGTTGATGCTTAAGATATAGAGAAAATGGGATTACTATTTTTTTATTGGTATAAATTTAAGGGGTACAAGTGCAGTTTTGTACATAGATGTTGTGTAGTGGTGAAGTCTATGCTTTTAGCGCATCTGTTGCCCAGATAATGTACTTTGTACCCGTTAAGTAATTTCTCATCGTCCCCCCCACCCTCCTTTTGTTGTGGGAACCATATTTGAATGTGAATTTGAACCATACTTGAATTTGAATGTGGGAACCATATTCGTCACACCAAGATGGCAGCTTTCAGCCCTGACTGTGGCTGGAGAAAGATGGCCCAGAAACAAGTGTCAGTAACCGATAGCCCATGCGGATTCCAGCGAGTCACATAACGTCACTAGCAGGCAGCACATCTACAGAAATCCAGCGCCAGCACTTTTGCCAATAGCAAGCAAAATGTTGTGTCTGAAAGCTTTTAGATTTGGCATTAACATGTAAACTTAAAAAAAAATGTTTTAATGTATTTTCACTATCCATTGCCATGATCATTACCTAATGTTTAGGGGATGTTTGGTAGTTCTCAGGCTACCCAGTTCTCTGTAGACATATTAAGCTCAAAACTTGAATAATACACTTCACCTTCCTTCTTAAAAGATTAAACATTCAATCTGGTCCATGTAAAATTACTGACTACCCAGTGCACCTGTTTCCTATCCTTGTTGCTTGAGAAAAACAATAATTAATTGGTTTATATACATAAGTCTAACTTATAATACTGATTGAATTTTTTTATTCATAGAACACTTAAAAGAGAAACTGGATGAATATATTAAGCTGTGGAATGGCCTCGTAAAGGTATTTCGAAATGAGAGAAGAGAAGGTTTAATCCAAGCACGAAGCATTGGCGCTCAGAAGGCTAAACTTGGACAGGTAAGAAGCATTTAATCTCTACAATGTCAACATTTTGCATTTGGTAACTAAATCATATATTTTTAATCACCCTGTAGTTTTTTTTTTTAATTTAAAATGAGAATGCTGGCTTAAACAGATAACTTATGTGTCAGATTGACTATAATGCTAATTTTTATTAGCATCTAATTTTAAATTGTGTGTAATATATGATGTACCATATATGAGGAGCATTCTTTCACCCTGCCTCTTTTTTTTAAGGTTTTGATATACCTTGATGCCCACTGTGAGGTGGCAGTTAACTGGTATGCACCACTTGTAGCTCCCATATCTAAGGACAGGTAACATCACCTTGCTTTTTTTTCTTTCCTGGTTGAAAAGTAAACCTTGTCCTAGAAGGGCAAATATTCTCATTCTTTGATTCAGTTCTATTAGTGCATCAAGTGTTATGTTAAAAGCGTTATTCCTCAGTTAGTTGTTTCCTGGGGTGGAGCCAGAATGATTATACTTTGAGCTGATTCAAATGTAGGCAGTCTGGCATTTGAGAGAAACCTAGGGTTTCTCACAGGAGAATCGTCTTGTGGTTGGGTGATTGAGACTTCCTCTATCTCCAAGAAACTTCTCTGAGAGCTGTTTTAGTTGCTCTATCTAAACTGGGGTAAGAGGTCTAAAAACTTGAGGAAAAATGCTTTAAAATTATACCTGCCAATTTTTATGCCCTTTCAAATTATTATTTTAGATAGTAAGCATCAACTATTACTTGTGTCTAGGCTTTGAGTTCCTATAGAAACTTTAGAAATAGACAACTATACCATGAAAATGTGGCAATCACTATTAAATTTCCAGAAATGTCCGAAACAACAGAAGGCACCATCAGTTCCTAGGTCTGAAAGCCTTCCTTCTAGTCTAGAATTATGACTATTTCAGAACCTAGGAAAATAAGTCATGTCCCTGTGGCAAATGGTATGAGTCAAAGGAAGACTTTGGAGGATTTAACCATGAGTGGAGTTATTTATTTATTTATTTATTTTTATTTATTTTTGGGACAGAGTCTCACTCTGTCGCCCAGGCTGGAGTGTGGTGGCATGATCATAGCTCACAGCAACCTCAAACTCCTGAGCTCAAGTGATCCTCCTGCCTCAGCCTCCCAAGTAGCTGGGACTGCAGGCGCATGACACCATGCCTGGCTAATTTTTACAATGTTTTTATAGAGAGGGAGGGAGGTCGTGCTGTGTTGTCCAGGCTGGTCTCAGACTCCTGGCCTCAAGCCATCGTCTCACCTTGGCCTCTCAAAGGGCTGGGATTACAGGCATGAGCCACCGTGCCTGGCCTCATGTGCAGATTTAACGTGAAAGCCTATCGTAAACATTTTTCACATGCTGTGTGATTCAGTCCTCAGGGCAGCCCTGTAAGATGGAGATGATTATCTCCATTTGACTGAAGGGAATACTGAGGCTTAGAGAAATTAAATAATTAGCCCTAAATCAGATAGCTAAGAAACTGTCAAATTGAGGTCTCTCTAGAACCCTTTGCACAGCACCATTTATTGAAAAGTGTGAAAGTCATGAGAAGTAAGGAAAGATCACTGACCAGGTATCAGGGAGCTCTCTCCAGGTGAATTCTAGCAGTCCTCTGGGCGGTAAGGAAGTGGTTTTCCACAGATTCCAGGGGCAGTCCCACGAATCCCACAGTGACCCTCTGTGAGAGTCCACGCTCTGCAGGGAAGGAGGCACATTTCTAGAATCCACACCTCCCGCATTAAAGCTCGAGGCCACATAGGTTTTTCCCTTTTCCTTGGTGTCTAAACATCTAAAAGGCACCTTGACCTGGTTATGAAAAGCTATAGTCTCCATTTTAGGAAAATACATTTTAAAATCCTTTCTGACGAGATGAGCATTGGAAGGAGCAGAGTACCAGGTTATCTTTGTCACGTCGCCTCGGCATCTGTGGTTACATAGCACTAACATTTTTGTGATGCCTAAACATAAGAGATTTTTTTACTCTAAATTCTCAAACCACTTCCTAAGTTCTTCAGCAGATTTTGAGGGACTTTTTTTGCTTGTTTTTTTTAAAAAGCAACAATATAGGACAGTAGAATTTTTGGGGGGGGGGTTGGTCTTTTGCAGTAATAGCTGTTTTTTAAAGTCAAAGGAGTGGGGAAGAAGATCAAGTAAAAATACAGAAACACATTTTCATAATAACTGTTTCCAAAGAAGTAGAAAGCAATAGAGTTGGGAGAACTGCTAAGAATGTGGCAAGTACCATCTGTACACACACACACACACACACACACACACATTTTTTTAATGAGGACTAAAGGAAAATAACAGGCAAGAAAATCTTGTAAATAATGCAAAATTACCAAGAGATAGTTGCCTGTAGGACCAAAGGGAGGAGAAAACACTATTAAGCTCAAAGAAATGGCTTTGTCCCTAACATCTGTCTGAAAGTCTAGGGGGAAGTCTCCTGTCTCCTGCCCTTACACAAACAGGATCTTTGGCTTTTATGGGACATTCATTTACTCTATTTTCCATTAGATTTTAAAGTCCCCTAGTGCAAAAACAAATCAACAACAAAAAGGCATGCTAAACCAGTCAGGTTTGGGTTCCTAAATGCTTCTTTATTTTCTGTAAATGTTTCAGAACTACATGTACTGTGCCTCTAATAGATTACATAGATGGGAATGATTATTCCATTGAACCACAGCAAGGTGGGGATGAAGATGGTTTTGCCAGAGGGGCCTGGGACTGGAGTTTACTATGGAAACGTATTCCACTAAGCCACAAGGAAAAGGCCAAAAGAAAACATAAAACTGAACCTTATCGGTAAAGACTATTACTTTTGTTTTCTTATGTTGAATGTTTACCTGAGCACTTTTTTTTTTTCTTCCCCACGAACTCGTGTAAATATGTGTGTCCATACATACGCTTCCATTTGATCATTGCTGCCATCATCAACACGATACAGAACCACTTGCACTGTGCCGCTCATAGATGTCATAAATGGCAACACATATGAAATTGTACCCCAAGGGGGTGGTGACGAAGATGGGTATGCCCGAGGAGCATGGGATTGGAGTATGCTCTGGAAACGGGTGCCTCTGACCCTTCGAGAGAAGAGACTGAGAAAGACAAAAACTGAACCGTATCGGTAATCACTAAACCACTTACATATTTTTCTTTTCTCCAGTTGCTGCTAACCTGTTAACCTCTTGCCAAGCTAAAAATTTGTTACTAAAACTATATACGCTGTCTCAGATTCTGAAAAAGCATCTTTCCTTATACTGTTTCGGAGCTTTGAATTCACATTTGCTCCATTAAAATTGCTTTTGCCCTACATGAAATCTCTACTACTGAGAATTACACTCTTTCATTGGAGGAAAAACAAAAAATAATGTAATATGACATTAACTTCAAGTATAAGTGAATAAAAGAAAATCTTTACTCTCCTCTCCTAGTAGCCTAGACGTCAAATTTTGTCCTTTTGATGATAATGTCATCCTAGAAATTTAAAATATGTAAATTACTTATAATCCAAGACTGTTACTTCCACTTTGATGCCTTGGGTGTAATGAAAGGCACTAGCAAGAGATTTTGGGTTTTTCACCCTTTTTTTTTTATTCTAACTCTCAAGGACTAATTTTGTGGCAGTTAAATCTGATGAATAAAAATACATAACTTTAGAAAATGTTACATAGAATCCTTCATTGTTTCCTTCTCAGAAGAGTGTTTGATTAAAGGAAAACTATTCTAAAATCAGCTTTTGTTCTTCTTGTGGTTCTTCAAGTAGAACAATTTATGTTACTGTCTTCTTTTGATCTTTTTTTTTTTTCAAGAGACAGGGTCTTGCTCTGTCCCCCAGGCAGGAGTGCAGTGGCACGATCATGGATCACTGCAGCCTCCGACTCCCGAACTCCAACGATCCTCCCACCTCAGCTTCCTGAGTAGCTTGGGACTACAGGTGTCCACCACCACACCTGGCTAATTTTTAAAATTTTTTGTAGAGATAGCGTCTCACTATGTTTCCCAGGCTGGTCTTGAACTCCTGGCCTCAAGCGATCCTCCCGCCTCGGCCTCCCAAAGTGCTGGGATTATAGGTGTGAACCACCTTGCCCGTCTGCTTCTTTTGATCTTTTAATTGGAACATTTTACTGTCTTTCAGAAAGTGATCACAAATGAAATGTTTGCTCAAATATTAGTGTAGCCTTCTCCCGAATGTGTCTGATTTTATTTTTCTGATCCTGTGGTTCTGCCTTTGGTCTCTCTCCTGTTACGCTGCTGACAGTGTTAGAACTCTGTTTTGGGAAGGTGCTTCCAGTGTCATGGAAATGCTGGTAGGGTTGGGCATACCATGATATCAGATACTGAATGGCAAACATCAGGAAATTATAGAACTTTAAGCTTCATTTCATGGAAAGTTAAGCTAAATTTTCATTTGTAAATTTCTTACTCGAAATAGTCGAGAAATCTATTGCTTAAATGCTTAACCTGACAGATAATTCTGGGAGGAAGAAAAGAAATGGTGCTGAGTACATTCATATTTCTGCTACTTCCATGGGCTAGGCTAGTAAAGAGATGTTTAAAATGAGCTAGAAAAATTTAGGGGAGGTTTCCATTTAATTAACTCACTAGTTTCCACATTAAAAATGCATTTTCAAATATATACAGAGTTGAATGGGAGTATATTTAAACATCAAAAAGGCACAGTTATAATGGAGTAATTTTAAATGATGGTTAAATAAATGTCACCAAAAACGTAATAGTGCTATTTAGTGAGTCAGGTAGCATACTTTAAGAAGAAAAGGCATGAGAGAATGACTTTCTCCTGACACGATTGTCCTTTACAATCGAAAATGTTACTTGACTCATTATTTATCCACTCAACAAATATTTACTGAGTGCTTACTGTGTTGCCAGGCACTATTTTCTGCAGATAAATTTAACAAGATTTGTTCCGTCATTGAACTTAAAATAGTATGAGTCAGACAGAAATTACCCAGGTAACTACACAAATGACTCTGAAACAGCCACAGTGATCAGTAGTATGAAGAAAAATCCCAAGGCCCATGAGCTCATGGAAAGGGGAACCTAATCCAGCCTGGAGGACCAGGAAGGGCCTCTGACAAAGCATCACTTAGGCTGAGACCTGAAGGGTGAGGAGTCAGCCTTCAAGAAAAGGAGAAAGCACATGTCAGAAGCGTGAACAGCGCAAGTGAAGGCCTGAGACAGAAGGGAGTTTGGCAGGTTCCAGGCAAGGGCAGAGCAGTGAGGGACTCACAGGAAGAGCCTGCAGAGTGGGAGGGGCTGGCCTCACCTGGGCCCAGGCTGAGTCTGCTCTGGCTGCTGTGTGCTTAGACTTGGGCGGGGCGGAATAGAATAAAGGACGTGTGTTCGGGAGACACTGCAGAGGCTGAGCAGCGTTGGCTTGATCGAGGGCGGAGGCAGTGAAATTGGAAAGAAGTGGACAGACTGAAGGTATATTTTCCAGGTAGAAGCAATAGGACTCAGTGATAGATTGAGTAATCAGGTGTGATGATGAAGGGACCCTGATAGTGTTACATGCCCTAATATTTAAGAATCACGATGCATTAATATTCATTGCTCAGGGGTGAGGGGCAGGGAGCTGGATGAAAACTATTCTGTTATCACTTCTCCCGATGGTGGGAGCGACTTGTCCCTAAAAAGCTACCAAATATTTATTCTCTTGCCCCTAAAAAGTACCCAATTTTCGATCCATTCAAGAAGCCACACAGAGCACCTGTTTGCATTCGTACCTCCTGGCACAGTAAACAGCTATGTCTAATTCTCCCGTGTGATTTCTGTGCTACATTTGCCAACTCTGAATGAACTGTGGCTGTTCTACAATGATTTACACCCTTATTTGGCAAGCCCCTGAGCTATAAAATTAAAAAATGACAGACTACTTCCATGGCGTATGGTTTCATTCATCCCAGAATGACTCATAAATCATTGAGGAGCAGTTAGCAGACCACGGCTGTATGGCTCAATGTTTTTAAGGGTGAAAGAGAAAATTCTATTTCAGCTAAAACTAAGGCTTAATTTTTAAATCAACAAAGGAACCAAGGCGCCCTCTAATGGCAGAATAACACAGTGCTCTACTTTGTAATGAACTGTAATTTGGTTTCACTTAGAAACTGGTAAATTTGTTAACGAATTATGAACAGGCTGTTTTGTAAAGGCTTTATAATTTCTTAATGTTTGTCCATCAGTTTTGTCTCTTCTGTGCATTATTTAGGCTGTATTCTGCTTCTTGTCTGTTGGGGAAGGGATGTCGGGGATTTGTCTTTAATGGTTATTGCAGTATTTCTTTTTCTTAGGTCACCAGCCATGGCTGGGGGATTATTTGCCATTGAACGAGAGTTCTTCTTTGAACTGGGTCTCTATGATCCAGGTCTCCAGATCTGGGGTGGTGAAAACTTTGAGATCTCATACAAGGTAACGTTTTATTTAAACAGATACAGTTTTCCAAGTAGTTACTGACTTTTGTAACTTTCAGATAAAGTTGTTTTTTTGTTGAAAAAAAAGTATAATAAATTTCTCCAAATTCCAAGGAATAACTTAACAAAAATGTATGCCTCTTGGGAAAAATCCAACAAAATTCAAGCTCCAAACTTACCACATATTTACAGGGCTCAGCTCCAAATTGTGGCCAAGAAACTTCAGAAATGAAAATACTCCCCCCCTTCCACACTTTCTGTACACTGGAGCCTTTTATTCTAGAGGCCCTTTGGAGAATCTGCATATCTTAGGGCCACAGTTGACTCTCCACCGACATAGTCACCCTTTATCTATAGGACATGATGACTCAAGACAGAAGCAGACCCCCACCGTGACTGTGCCTCCTCAGACTGACACTGGAGCACCTCCCCAGTTGTTGAGGCAGTCCTTGAGCAATGCCACCTTCTGTGCTCCAGCCCCCACCCCAGCCCCCACTCCTACCCCCATTTCAAAAGAGAGAGAGAGAGAGAGAGAACTGTATCACAGCTTGAGTTAAACAGGTATTCATTACCTCTTGTCTTAAATGTCCTGTGCTTGGCACTGAAAGGGACAGAAGAGGGGTAACCCAGTCTCTGCTCTCAAGGATCTTACAGTGCATAAGAAGAGATTAGAATTATGCTTAAATTCGTAACAGAACAAGAAGGCAGAATGGCATTCAGTTGGTGTGACTAACAAACGGCATTGTGCTGGAGGTAGAATTTGAAGCAGAGCTAGAAAGACGGCATGATGTCAATAAGCAGAGATAAAGGGAGGGAAGGGGCTTCTAAGCAAAAAGAACCGGAAGGTACAAAGGAGGGAACATGAAGAACATATTCAGGAAACAGCAGGGAGCACAGTCTGGCAGAATCAGGCAGCGTGAATAAGGAAGACATCTAAGAAGATAAAGTGGACAGGATCGTTAGGATCGAAGAAAGCCTTTAATGCTGAGTTAACAGATTTTTACTTGATTCGATAAGCAGTGGAGAACCATCAAAGATATTCAGCGAGGGAGTAACATGACCCAAAGCTGCCCTTCAGCTATAATAATCTCTTGCTATAAATAAGGATAGAGTTAAGCAGAGAGAAGCTGAAGGGGAAGAAGCCAGTTAGGAGGTTATTATAGTAATCACCCAGGTGGGAAATATTTTAGCAGTGGGCATGACGGATGAGCTAGAAATGAAGAATCTGCATGACTTTGCAAGGTTGCATTGGGAAAAAGTTGCTAGGGGCTACGACTCTGCAGGAAGCGGCCCCTTAGTAACAGTGTATTACCATATTTCCTGTTGCCTTCTTTGTTATTATCTGAGTTTTGAAACAAGCACATTATTTTAGAATTTATTTAGTTTGTGAATTCCATGTGGACGTTGTATCTAATTTAGATTATAGATTTATATTTACAAGACAATTTTTCAGTTAAAATTTATTTTTTTTCCTTTGAAAGAACTTCCTCAACATGTGTTTTCCTTTGATAGATATGGCAGTGTGGTGGCAAACTATTGTTTGTCCCTTGTTCTCGTGTTGGACACATCTACCGTCTTGAGGGCTGGCAAGGAAATCCTCCACCTGTTTCTGTTGGTTCTTCCCCAACTCTAAAGGTGAGTTTTTTGGCTAAAAAGGAGAAAAGGATAGGGAACTAACATTTATGTACCACACACTATAGTAGTCACTTAAATGTCAGCTTAGGGAATGGACAGATCTGATACTGGTTCTCACCTTCAGCTCAGGCTAGACTTCTTCATGAGATGTCATGTTCCTTCCTTCCTTCCTTCCTTTTTTTTGTTTTTTTAGAGACAGGTTCTCATTCTGTCGCCCAGGCTGGAGTGCAGTGGCATGATCATAGCTCATTGTAACCTCGAATTCCTGGGTTCAAGGGATCCTCCTGCCTCATCCTCCTAAGTAGCTGGGACTACAGGCACATGCCACCACACCTGGCTAATTTTTTTATTTTTTGTAGAGAGGGTCTTACTATGTCACTCAGGTTGATCTCGAACTCTTGGCCTCAAGTGATCCTCCTATCTTGGCCTCCCAAAATGCTGGGATCACAGGCATGAGCCACCACAGCCAGCCTAATATCATGTAGTTCTTTAAGATTATTCATAGTATCCCATTTTTTTAACTGACAAGTAAATATTGTATATATTTATAGTTTACAGCATAATGTTTTGATACATGCATACACTGTTGAATGGCTAAATCAAGCTATTTAACATATGCATTACATTACGTATTTTTTGTGGTGAGAACACTAGAAATCTACTCTCCTACCAATATTCATATATACAGTATATTGTTATTAACCGTAGTCACCATGATATATAATAGATCTGTTGACTTTATTCTTCCTGTCTAACTGAAGTTTTGTGTCCTTTGACCAAAATCTCTCCAATCCTCCCAATCCCCAGACTCTGTCAATTACCATTTTATTCTTTGTTTCTGTGGGTTTGACTTCTTTACACTCCACACGTGTGTGAGATCATGCAGTATCTGTCTTTCTGTGCCTGGCTTATTTCACTTAACATAATGTGCTCCAGGTTTATTCATGTTGTGGCAAATGACAGGATTTCCTTCTTTTCTGTGTGTGGCTGAAAAGTATTTCATTGGTGTATGCGCCACATTTTCTTTACCCATTCATCTGTTGGTGGACACTTAGGTTAATTCCGTATCTTGGCAGTTGTGAATAATGCTTCAATGAGCATGGGAGTGCAGATACCTCTTCAACATACTGATTTCACATCCTTTGGATATGTATCTATTAGTGGGATTGCTGGATCATACAGTAGTTCTATTTTTAATTTTTTGAGGAACTTCCATACTGTTATTCATAGGAGCTGCACCATTTTGCTTTCCTACCAACAGTGTACAAAAGTTCCAGTTTCTCCACATTGACATCAACATTTGTTATGTTTTATCTTTTTGATAATAGCCATTTTAACATGTGCGAGATAATGTCTTGTGTTTTGAATTTGTATTTCTCTGATGAATAGTGAGGTTGAGCATTTTTTCATGTACCTGTTGGCCTATTTGTATGTTTTCAGGAATGTTTGTTCAGGTCCTTGGCCCATTTTTAAATCAGGTTGTTTCCTTACTATTGAGTTGTTTGAGTTCCTTATATATTTTGGATATTAACCCCTTATCAGATGTGTGTTTTGCAGATATGTTCTCTATTCCTAGATTGTCTCTTTGTTGATAGTTTACTTTGCTATGCAGAAGCTTTTTAGTTTAATATAATTCCTTTTGTCTATTTTTGCTTTTGTTGCCTGTGCTTTTGGGATCATATCCAAAAAAATCTTTGAGCAGACCAATGGCATAAAACTTTTCCTAGCCTCTGTCTTCTAGAAGTTTTACAGTTTTTGGCCTTTTTATTTAAATCTCTAATCCATTTTGAGTTGATTGTTGTGTATGGTATGAGATGAGGGTCTAATTTCATTCTTTTGCACATGGATATCCAGTTTTCCCAGCATCATTTATTGAAGAAACTATTTTTTCCCCATTATGTGTTCTTGGCATTTACCTTGAAAATTAATTGACCGTAAATGTGGAGATTTATTCCTAGGCTCTCTATTCTGTTCCATTGGTCTATGTGTCTGTTTTTATGCCAGTACCATACTATTTTGATTGCTATAGCTTTGCAGTAATCAAGATTTTGAAATCAAGTAGTGCGATGCCTCTGGCTTTGTTCTTTTTGCTCAGGATTGCTTTAGCTATTTGGGGTGTTTTGTGGCTCCATACGAATTTTAGGATTGATTTTTCTATTTCTGTGAAAAAGGTCATTGGATTTTTGATAGAGATTGCACTGAATCTGTAGCTCACTTTGGGTAGTATGGACATTTTAACAATACTAATCTTTCAATCCATGAACATGGGATAGCTTTCCATTTATTTTATGTATTCTTCAATTTCTTTTATCAATGTACAGTTTTCAGAGTGCAAATTTTTCACTTTCTTGGTTAAGTTTATTCCTAGATATTTTATTGTTTGTGTACAGTTATTATAAAGGGGATTGTTTTCTTGGTTTCTTTTTCAGATAGTTCACTGTTAGCATATAGAAACACTACTGATTTTTGTATGTTGATTTTATCTTCTACAACTTCACTAAATTTATTAGTTCTGGGACTTTTTTATAAAGTCTTTAGGGTTTTCTGTGTGTAATATCATGTCATCTGCAAATAGAGACAGTTTAACTTCTTCCTTTCTGATTTGGATGCCTTTTTATTTCTTTTTCTTGCCTAATTGCTCTGGCTAGGACTTCTAGTAGTGTATTGAATAAGAGCGGCAGGAGTGGGCATCATTGTTCCTTTCCTTAGAGGAAAAGATTTTAACTTTTCACCACTGAGTATGACATTAGCTATGGGCTTATCATATATGGCCTTTATTGTGTTGAAGTACATTCCTTATATACCTAAGTTGTTGAGCATTTTTATCATGAAGTTATGCTGAATTTTGTCGACTGCTTTTTTTGCATCTATTGAGATGATCGTATGGTTTTCATCCTTCATTCTGTTAATGTGGTGTGTCACATTTATTGATTTTTGTATGCTGAACCATCCTTGTATCCCAGGGATAAAACCCACTTGATCATGGTGACTTTCAAAAGTGTTGTTGAATTTGGTTTGCTAGGATTTTGTTGAAGATTTTTACATCTGTGTTCATCAGGGATATTGGCTTGTAATTTTCTTTTCTTATGCTGACCTTGCCTGGCTTTTGTTTCAGGGTAATGCTGACCTCGTAAAATGATTTTGGAAGTTTTCCCTCCTCTTTAATTTTTTTGGAAGAGTTTGAAAAGAACTGGTATTCATTCTTTGAATGTTTGGTAATAGCAGTGAAGCCATCAGGTCCTGTATTTTTCTTTAATGCAAGACTTTATTACTAATTCGATGTCCTTATTACCAGTCTATTTAGTTTTTCTATTGCTTCAAGATTTTAGTCTTGACGAGTTGTGTTTAGGAATTTATCCATTTTTTTTTTTTTAGGTTTTCCAATTGGTTGACGTATTATAATTGTTCATAGCAGTCTCTTGTGATCCTCATATTTCTGTGATATCAGTTGTTATCTTCTCTTTCATTTCTGATTTTATTTATTTGGTCTTCTGTTTTTCTTGGTCTAGCTAAAGGTTTTATCTTTTAAAAAAACCAAATTTTAGTTTGGTTGATCTCTTCCATTGTTTTTCTACTCCTATTTCATTTATTTCTGCTCAGATTTTTACTATTTCCCTCCTCATTTGGGGCTCAGTTTGTTCTTTTTCTAGTTCCTTGAGGTATAATATTAGGTTGCTTATTTGGAATCTCTCTTCTTTTTTGATGTAGGCATTTATTGCTATAAATAAATGCCCTCTTAGAACTTCCCTCTTAGAACTGCTTTTGCTGCATCCCATAGGTCTTAACATGTTTTTTTCAATTTTGTTTATCTCAAGATATTTTTAAATTTACCTTTTAATTTCTTCTTTGATCCATTAGTTTAGGAGAATGTTGTTTAATTTCAACATATTTGTAAATTTTCCAAATTTCCTTCTGTTACTGATTTCTAATTTCATACCACTGTGGTCAGAAAAGATATTTTTTATGATTTTAATCTTCTTAAATTTGTTAAGACTTGTTTTGTGGCCTAACAAATGACCTATTCTGGAGAATGGTACATGTGCACTTGGGAAGAATGTGTATTCTGCTACAGTTGGATAGACTGTTCTGTACGTGTCTGTTAGGTCCATTTGGTCTAGAGTGTGTTCAAGTCTTAATGTTTACCTATTGATTTTCCATTTGATTGATCTGTCCATTGGTGAAAGTGGAGTACTGAAGTCCCATACTATTGCAGTTTATCTCTCTCTTCAGATCTTTTAATATTTGCTTTATATATTTAGGTGTTCTAGTGTTGGGTGCATATATGTATGTTAATAATTATATCTTCTTGATGAATTGATCACTTTCTCATTATATAATGATCCTCTTTGTCTCTTTTACAATTTTTGACTTAAATTCTATTTTATCTGACATAAGCATAGCTACCCCTGCTCTCTTTTGGTTTCCATTTGCATGGAATATCTTTTTCCATACTTTTACTTTCAATATGTGGGCGTCTTTAAAAATAAAGTGAATCTATTATAGGCAGCATATAGTTGGGTCTTTTTAATTTATTTTTATCCATTCAGCCACTTTATGTGTTTTGATTGGGAAATTCAATCCATTTATATTCAATGTAATTATTGGTAGGTAAGGATTAATAATGCCATTTTGTTAATTGTTTTTGGTTGTTTTGTAGATTATTTCTTCCTTTCTTGCTGTCTTCATTTGTGGTTAGGTGATTTTTCTCTAATGGTATGCTTTGATTCCTTCCTTTTTGTCATTTGTGTATCTATTTTACGTTTCTGCTTTGTGGTTACTATGGTGCTTACATAAAACATCTTATAACAGGCTATTTTAAGTTGATAACAACTTAACTTTGATTGTGTACAAAAAGCCTACCATTTTATTTCACGCTTCCAACACATTTGATGTTTTTGAATTCACAATTTATATCTCTTTGTATGTTGTGTATCACTTAACAAATTATTGTAGCTATTATTATTTTAACGGTTTTGTCTTTAACCTTTATACTAAAGATA